GCAGCTTACCCAGTCCCGGACAAGAAAGCGGACACCGTCGCAAAAGTGATCTTTGGAAGGTGGATAGCGGATGGATGCCGCTGGTCGAAATCAATTCTGTCTGATCGCGGAGGCGAGTTTGAAAACAAAGTCATGGACGAGATAGCGAAAATCACAGGACTGAAACAGCTCTCTACAAAGGGGTATAACCCGAGAGAGAATGGAATCACGGAGATACTGAATGGTACTATTGTGACCATGCTGCGGAAGTCGACAAGCGTGCCCACAGAATGGGACGTAAGGTTGCCATTTTGCATGATGGCGTATAACATGATTCCGTACAACTCCACAGGAGAGAGTCCGTATTTCATACTGCACGGGGCGGATCCATTTTTTCCGTCAAACATAATTCCGCCGGAAACCAGTATGTACGAAGAACGCGGTAGCGAGCAGTATAAGACAGGACTCTTGCAAGCAATTGCAGAGGTCCAGCAGAGGGGGAGATCCTACAATGAGCGCACGCAAACGAGAATGAAAATTGCGTACGACAAGCGGAACGCAGTAGGAAAAGCCAAATACTCAAAAGTAGGAGATCGGGTGTACATGAAATGTCCGGCAGAGAGGGGAAGGACTATGCACCCTAAGTTAACTTGTAAATGGGCAGGCCCTTTCAGAGTTTTAGAGACCAGTGAAAATTCCGCCTTGATAACTAGAATCGGGGAAAACGCAGATCTCATAAGGGTTCAGTTTGACATGTTAAGGGTGGTACCAGTGGAAATTACAGACGACCGTATTGACACAGTAACCTTTAGAGAAGAAGAGGGAGAAAACCAAACACTAAGATAACCTGTTCTAAAACATTCTTATGTTTCAAAAATGCTATCAATGAAGAATCGCAGCCGGGCCACCTACTTTACGAGTGCTTGGATGGCTGTTTGATGAATTCGCATCTGAACGAGGTGAGCGGAGTGAAATTCCCCGGCGCATTTGGAAGAGAGCCTGTTGGCACAGTATGGAAGGCCTGGACGGCCATTAGCATATTTGGACGCAGTGACATGGATCTCGGAGAGAAGATAAGGCTGTACCGTGAAGGAGCAATTTGTCTCGAGGCGAAGTCGTTGGAAAAGGCTTACTTCTTGCTTTTGATAAATGCACGACTTGGAGTGAAGGAGCAATTTGTTTCGAGGCGAAGTCGTTGGAAAAGGCTCTACTTCTTGCTTTTGATAAATGCACGACTTGGAGTGAAGGAGCAATTTGTCTCGAGGCGAAGTCGTTGGAAAATGCTCTACTTCTTGCTTTTGATAAATGCACGACTTGGACGGAATTCATATGCAGTAAGAGCGGTATCAAGAAACATGCACCTGTAAGAAGCTATGACGTCCAAAAGATGAACGGCGAGGCGCTAAAAGCAGTTAAACTAGAAATGGCTTTGACGGAGAAAAGTCAGAGGCCAAAGAAACAAGGTCCAGTCGTATTCCTAGCGCCCAGATGCGCAGCACTGTTAGAGAAAGATAGGCTGCGGTTTGGAGTCACGACGAAAGTAATCGTGCAATTCAGCCAACTAAGAGAAGAGCTCGAAAAGCTGAAGAGTTGCCGCGTTTGGATTATTGTATGGGCACTAGACGTCAGGAAAGAAGACGAAGCCATCACGGGAGCTGTAGTAGCCTGCAAGAAATATCTAGAAGAAGGAGGGCAGATAGTATCGGTCTGGCCGCCGATAGTCAGTAGCAATGCCCATATATGGAAAGTCATGATGGAATTGTGGTCACTCCTGGGCACAACATTGAAAACTTATGCAGGCCCGGATCCAGGGCCCGGCACAGATCGTCTGGAAGCAGGCTGGACTTCGTTTTTGAAGCAAACAGCAAAGGAGATATCGTTTCTGACGAATAGGGGCCAAGCACAGAATGAGCGCCATTTAGTCGAACACAAGCTTTTCGGACTGGGTATCACACGATTGACATGCTCTATCGTGTGATGCGAAAAGTGCGCGCGATTTGAAAGCAAGGCTTAAATAAACAATTTGCTTGTTTACAGCGCCTACAGAAGCATATGACACCAAAATTGAACTATATGTATAGAAAATTATTTGCGAAACTTTTATGTAAAAAGATTCAAAAACTTATGTGAAGAGATACCTTTTCCAAAATTAGATCGTCTCCAGACGGCCACCAGACGATCTGAGATCGTCTGGAGCATATATTTTCGTCACTTCACATAAGTTTCGGATTTTTTTAGCATGGACGGATTTCGCGGTCAAAAATCTATCCCTGAGCATGAAGACATTTTCATATCATTGCCTTTCCTTTGTTTTTGCCTTCATATATTCTCGCTTTGTTAAATATCGCGCTCTAATGCCAAAGTCTTGTACATGCGTAGTATTCAGCTCCAATTTGGATTTTCGCTCTTTTCTTACGTCTTTTCTTTCAAACTAGTAATTTTTTCTTGTTTTCATCTTCTTCTAAGCAGGTAGGTCAAAAGGGACTTCGTAAAACTTCCGTAATTCAGGGGAGACTTCGTTTTCAGAAACCCCAGAAACCGACTCGTGTCGGGCCCTGCCCGGATCAGCTCATTACGTTAGCAACTGCGAAAATTGAAGATGGAAAGATAATGGTGGAAGCCGGTTCATCAGAAGGCAGTTTTCAGTTTTATTCGACTTATCGTTTTATTCGAAAAATTTTCAAGCTTAAAAATCCCAGTTTTTGGTTTTTAGGATCGCATCTAAATTTGCGAGAGTCGCATCTAAATTTTTCCGAGCTCACTGCTTCTCAAGGGCTGAAAGTTTTTCTGTAAATAGTCTGGGCACTATGCTACAGAACCTGTTCATTGCAGCCTCTCAGTCTTTTCCTGGTCTTAGTTACGAAATTTCAAACTACCGTGCTTATGCACGTTTTTGACATCGTTCTGGACGGCGCTAAAGCGGGTTTTTTCGCGGAAAAAATTGTGCAAGAGGTATAAAGTAAGCTTCTTAGTCGAAAACATCTTTTGTAGTTAAAGAATACCATTATTTTTCTCGGTACAAAAATTTGTGTCGTATACGGGAACCGAATTTGTTGGCCTGAAGTATGCCTGAAAATTCAAAAAAACTTGCAGAATCTCAAACATTATTGAAAGTGTGTATGTGTGCTACAGATGCTGGGCGCACCCATTGGCCTAGAAATTCTGCTTCAGAAACCTCATTGAAGTTCTCACACAGGTGTTTTTTAAGATTGACATCGTTTATGCAGGTTACCGCGAAGAATGTGGGCAGGTGAGGAGGTAGATGGGGCGGGGGGTAGATGGGGCGGGGGTCGTACGGATGGGTACCTTCAGGGGGTGGGGTCGTAAGTGAGGGTCCCGGATCGCATCAACATGCTTGACCCTGCTCAGAAGCCTTTTTGGATAAGATCGATTTGAGAGGAAGAAAGTATTCTCCAAAGATCGATTGCGGATATGAATCACTTATTGGAGTTACCAGTGCGTCATCTTTGCTTCGCAGAGGCTCGCACTGGCCCTACTTTCTATACGCCTTGCTCATTCCCGCATAATAGTGACATTAAAACTTACCGCGCTATGCAGGCTATCGCGAATGAGTTGTAAACAACTACTCATTCCGAGAGCTTTTTTGTGTGAGATCGGTATTTTCGCGTGGATGAAACTTTTCCGAGAAGGATAAATGCAAATTTGAACCGATTTTTAGAATTTTTATGGTTTGGTTGTCGCCATAATGACGATGATCACCGTGGGTTACATCTCTGTGCAAAAATCTTCAAATGATTAAGTAAAATCTTGGCAAATTGAACATTTACTCAACTAATCTTTCTCGGCGCCATTTTCGTAAAGTAATCAACTTTAGTTCAATTTTTTGGGCTAAAGTCCATGGCTTGAACATTAGCTTGTTAATCATATCCATGACTTTGCAAAAAGTGGTGGTACAGGCCCAACTTTGCTGGCCAGAAGCCAAGTGGATCCGTTTGACGTGTGATTTTCGAAGGATCCGCTAAACGGATCCGCTCAAGCTTTGGTATAGTGGACCTACATGCTGGGGACAGACGCTGTGCAAAAGATGTTGGCTGGCAACCGTTTTACGATTTTCGTGACAGACAGACAAACTTACACACAGACAAAAACACGCAAACAACCCTTAGCCCGTTATTATAAGTTACGATAATGGCTTGATAGTCGGCATAAGGATGATGACAACTGTGGGTTCCATCTCTAAGCAAAAATCTTCTAGAATTTCTAGGTAAAACCTTGACAAATCTACTATCTACGCAATTATTCCTTTTTGGCGCCGATCTTGCGTGAAAGTAGATTTTTTGCTCACTTTTTGGGCTAGAGTTCATGGTTTGCGGAGTCAGTTGTTAGATAAATCCACGATTTTGAGAAAAGTTCAATTACGGCCTCTTTGGCGCGCCAGAAGTCGCGTGGATCCGTTTGGCGCACAGTTTTCGCATATGTTTTACTTATCGGATCGCTTGTACTTTTGCACACTTTACTTACATGCTGAAAGGGTGCTAATACCAACGTTCCAGCTCAAAAACTTTGCTGGAACACGCTCTATGAATTTCGTGACAGACAGACATTTAGACAGACAGACACGCAAAAACACGTAAACACTCTTAGCGCGCTATTATTGTAGGATGATAAGTTAAACCGCAGATTACCGGACTGCTTGCTCACTCCTCATTTCCGAGCTGTTTCACTTGGTAGCGGTGCGTGAGCTATGCAGATTCGCTTCTATGAAGTCGAATTTGTATCAAATCATTATTCAGTGATATAAATAGCGCATGTATGGACTCCCAGATTCGTGTGGAGTCGGGCTGCGGGTTAGGAAGCTGCTTGAATATCCATAGCAGAAATTTGATTTTCATCCCTCGCTATCAAGAACCTCCACGCTTTGAGTTGGCAAGACTCCACTTCCACACCAATCTGGAAGCCGACTATGAAGTTGCTGGCATTCCCACTTTGCAGGAAAAAATGTATGACTTACTTACCCTAATTCAATGGCAACGTCCTTAACAATTATTTTGTATACACTTATGTCCTGTGGAGGACGAACACCCAAGAGCGAGTCAAGCCATAAAGGGGACCATGTCGAGCTTCCCACATCCTCGACTGAATCGGGAGTAAGAGAACTCAGCAATGCAATTGTACACATAGAAAAGAAAAGAATTGTTTTCAGAAAACAAGACCTCATAGAAGTGAGGAAAAGCACGAGAAGTCAAAATTACCTTCTTCGGAAAAGAAGGAGCATGAGGATCAGGTGCGTCGGTGCTGGTATATATTAGGTTGGAAACTAAGTTTTGCAACTGATCTCATAACTTCCCTCTCACTCAACATGACGCACTCAAATTTTGCCACTGTGTTGATTATTACGTGAGCTACAAGCGCAGCTGCTGTTCTACCAAATTCTGACTCGCAGTGAGGATTACGGTAGGTGTATGGTATGAAAGGGAAAAATTCAAAGTTTGACGGATTTGGCTGAAACTTGGCATAGGAATGTTATCCGACATGCTGATCGCGAAAATGATAGTGAAATTTTGTGATAAGGGCTTTTTTGTAGGATTACTGTAGGTGTACAATATGGGGTCTCACCTCAAACAAGGAAAAAGGCATTGATTCAACAAATGAATATGATATTCGCGTTCGGCAGGTCAAATAACCTTAATATGTAAAGTCTCGGCGGAATTTGAGCTTCCGACTCTTTAGTCACTGGCGGTCGTCCCAGCAGCTCTTGCGTACATCGACTCGTTCGACTTTGTGAGAACGCCAAATTTCGACATGCCCCTAAATTTTGTTTCTTTCTTACTGGGCCAAAGGAGTCAACCTCCAGCAATAATTTGTAGAGGAATTCGGATTACTGCGCGTGGTCTAGGCTGCTAAAGGCTTCATTTTAGCTTGAAACCCCAAAAATTCTCAAATTTCACTAGTTTTCGAAAAATGCCTGAAAATTTTCTATTTCGCGTTCAAAATTCAAACGGTTTGCGCGTGCTTGTAGCACACATTACTCCCTACATAATGCCAAAATTTGAGTGCGCCATGTTCAGTGAAAGGGAACTTATGAGACCAGTTGCAAAACTTAGTTTCCAGCCTAATAAAATCAAGAATGAATCGTCAGAAAATTTCTGAAGCATGAATTATTGATGAAATCTCTTTCATACTCTTAGCATTTTTCAGCTTACGGGAATTGTTACAGAAATTGCCTGGAGCAGTGCAGCAGCCACATCCAGCTGCCGATGAGGGTAAACAAGGAGGCAATGACGGCTACGAGTCTTGCCCTGACATGACCCCAACACAGCTGGCAAAAGTATTGGCAGAAATGAAGTGACATTTTGACTAACTATAAGCATACAATTACAACAACAAAGACTTGTTTCGATTTAATAAATCTAATAAATCTAATATAAATCTAATAGTTCACACACATAGCTCTTTTTCGACATAACCATGATGATAATTTGGACAAAATCACTTGAAAATTTATTCTCCTTAAGTATTCAACAGCATAAATCTCTTTGATAAATTTGACTGACTACATAGTTCGTTGCTAAAATCACGGAAAAATCTGCTTTTGGTATCCCAAAATATTAGGTTGTCCCGAAAGTTTTGTCGGTTTTTTCAGACCACTGTAAAACCACGCACAATAAAGACCTGACTGAGTTTCAACATGCATTCGATGCAGCTTTTCCTCCTATTTCTTATGGATGCACTTTCATATCATAATGTTATATGCTTTCTTTGGTAATTGCCGAAATTCTCCACCTGTCAATTTTACCTGCTCAAAGTCGAGCTAATTTTTGAAAATTTCGTTACAAAGTTTCGAAAAAGGTCAAGTATGGGTCAAATAGAGCAACTCTCGGGCTACAAGATGGTATTTTTAGATTCTCCTAATTTGCTGATTTTGACTTCAAAATTCAAAATTAAACAAATTCAAAATTCAAGATTATTTCTTCTGAGGTCTCGATTTTTGGCTAAGTTATGAAACGCGCAATTGCAGCAAAAGCATGAAAGCTTTTAAAGTTTTTGCGAATTCAAACTTAATTGTTATTAAACTTCATTTATGCAACATAACCAAGTTTGATTTGCCTCAAAAATCAGCTTTTTGGAATTTCCGGTAGTTTTACGTGGTAAAACGTGTTCAAAAAGCCGCGGTTTTTCTCAAATAAATAATTATTACGGACTTGATAAACGTGGCCCACGTGATCTAAAATAGCCACAATGTAGCCAAAGGTTTTCCCTACATAACAATTACCAGCGCTCGTTGAAAATATCAAGATAAAAATTTTGAAAATTCAGGAAAATATTGGCGTTACTGCTGAGGTGCTCAAAAATCCATGGCGATAACATCGCAAAGACGGGGTAGATCAGGGAGCAAATACAGCTATAAGAAAGAGGATAAAAATGTGAATAGAATGACACCTAGGGCGTTCGTGGAATGGTGTTCTGTGAGGTTTGGTGAGCGATGAAAAAAAACCGACAAAACTTTCGGGACAACCTAATATCAAAGATTTGACAGGAATATAACTCAAAAATATCTGATAAAGAAACTGTAAGATTCTTTCTTATTATTTTTTGTATACTTGAAATTGACATAATCGTTTGGCAGATATATATCTGCTGTCCTGACGGCAATTTCGAAAATTATTGCAGGCTTGCTTATACTCCAACGTAAATGCTTGGAAATGATATCTTGTAAACTGGCGGTAATTGATTTCTAGAGTAAACTAAAGTTGCATACTGTTTTTAAACAATTCAAAAATTATTTATGTACATTTGAAAACTTTTCAGCCTAAGATTTGTCTTGCAAAGAATAGTATTATTTTGGAATTCCCTTAATTGATTTTTGCCGCTGAGACAATGTTTTGTGCACTTTTTCCGTCTGAATGTAACTAAACAAAGAATAGCTGTCACGTTAGAGTTTAATACTGCCACCTTACTTGTTTCAAAATCATTAAAAAATATAAATAACAATTTGGTCTTCAGTGAATCCATTTGCCAAATATGATAAGTGGTTCACCCATCTGACCAATCTCAGCATTGGTTTAGACAAATATAATTGGAGGAATAAGTATCTTTAGAAAGCTGTATTTGACTATATTTGACTATATCACCTTAAGAACACTTTCAACTCTTTTTTTCATAATTTTTTGGCATGCTTCATTTCGTTTAGTTATCTAGAACTTCAATGAGCCGTGCGCTGATGATCTTTCCCTTACTTTCTTGAAAACCAAGTAACATTTCGAGTAGTAGAACTTGAAGTTAGTACAGATAAAACGCGTTAGAGCAAAACCTCTTCATACCCAATGTTTTGAACTGCTCTTCTCGGTGTACTCACTTTTAGACCGGCCGGCATTCGAACTCGGGAAAAGGCAACATAAAGCTGCTCATGACTGAAGACATTTTCAGGAACGCCGCCGACATACGCCGGCTTTACTGAACGACTGCCCCTGAGCCTTATTTATCGTCATTGCAAAGGCACTTTACGAGGAACTGACGTCTTCTCAGCTTAAATGGCAGTTGCTTTTCGCAGTAATTATCAATTCTTGGAGTTGCAGCTAATTGGCCTTTTCCTTCTCCACAGATAAAGCGACAATCAAGGGCAAAACGCCCCCAAGTCTCGATCCTCAGTCGTGTGCCATTGCAAAAACCATTAATGACATCAAAGTTTCTCAGAAGCATAACTATGGCTCCTTTCTTTAGTCTCAGCTTGTACGGCGGCATTTCTGATGGTTCGAGGGTGTTAAGATCCTCGACCGGGTAAAGTTCGGAATCTCCTTCATGAAGTAAAGCTTCGTATGGCTCGTTCGTAGAGAGTTTCGTGTGGGTTAACAATCTCGCCAAAGATCTCCGTTACTATATTTCCCGTGCATATGATGTTCTCTGGCAAAATAACTCGCCCATCTTCCGTGCTACTGAACCCATTACCTATATCTAAGAAGAACGTATGCCAATCATCTCCTGCATTTCGTGTGCGCATATTCATCTGAAAGCGGTGTCTCCTGAACAGCGGCCATAGTGGCGATCTGCTTACACAGGCTTCAACAACATCTTCTCGGTGTCCATGTTCGACTACAGGTAATATTTGGCAAAGTCCCCACCGACAATGATCAATTTCCCTCCGAATGGTCTGTCATTTTGCATTATATCTCGAAGCAAGTCGTCAACTGCTTCGAGAGGCATCTTGGCGCCATTGATATTTCATCCCAAATAATGACATCTGTGCACGCAAGGTCATTCGCTTCCCTCCTTCTCATTAGTGACGAACGATTACCGTCTGCCATGTTAAGTTTGAAAGCAGAGATTACCGTTCGGCCTCCGGGGAGCAAGTTCGCGGCGATACCGGTCCACGCGACGCGAAGCACACGGCGGCGCTGTGCCACGGCCAAATTGTACAACACTGTATATAAATAAGTCTTTCCAGTACCGCATTCCTTCATTGCGGTATACAATACCGCTCATAATTCGTCAAAAAAGTCGTCGGAGTGCGCCGCAGTCCGGCGACTTTTTTGACGAATTATGAGCGGTATTGTATATAGATCTGCCCGTACTGTCTTTGATCTTCGTGATTAGGATGGAGTGGGCCGATCTGATGATAAATTTGACCATGTATCCTAAAACAGTATGGACTCCTTCTTCTAGGCACGTCTACTTGAGCGCCCATAGACGCCATAGCCAGAGCAGAATTGAAGTTTCTTATGTTGCTGAAAAAATTGCTTCGACGTTGTTCGATTCCAGGCGATATCGTCTTCGTGGGAAGGAAAATCTCCTTTATCTGCGTAGGAAAATCGTCGAAAATGTCCAATGTAAATCGCCCATAATCGCAGCAATCACCAAATGTATCGGCATGTTGCTGTTTCACCTCAAATGCAAAGCGCAAGGCTCCACAGTTGGAGCAGCCTCGATCAAGCTCTCTAAGATGGTCTGTGACTGCTGTACGTTCTCTCAGAGCAATACCGAGAGTTTCATCGGAAGTAATATTACGACGTCTTTGATTATGGTGTACGGGAATGCGCATAAGGCGTTGATTCTCGTTTTCATAATCTTGGGCATTTATCACCGTGCCTATTAGTCGTTCTTCATCTCGATGTTGACGTAATCTTCGGTGACGTTCTGCATCTCCTCTTAAACGAAGCATTCGTTCTTCTTCATTCTCTTGAGTACGCCGTTGTCGCTGGCGTGAGGTAACTTGAGACCTACGCTGAGCAGTGGCTTCAGATTTCTTTGATTTTGGTTTGATTCTGCAAAAGTCTCAGCTAACGCTGCCTTTGTTCAAGAAGACGTCGGGCGCGGTCTTTAGCGCTTTCGACCTGCCGCCGTCTCTGTTGACTTTGGGCATTCAGAATGAGCCGTTCGGCCCTATCTGCACTACTCTCATTCTGTAGATTCCTTTGCTAACGTTCAGCATCTTCAGCGCGGAGTTCGGCGCGTTCAGCACTGTTCTCATTTTGTCGGCGTCTTCGCTGACGTTCAGCGTCTTCGACATGACGTTCAATGCGATCCGCACTGCTTTCATTCTGTCGACGTCTCCGTTGCTTCGTCGAGTTTTGAAGGAGTCGTGCAGATTGACTCTCTTAACTTTCTGTTTCACGATTGTGTCGATGACGTTGCAGATCTTCAGCACGACGCACTGCATTCTGTTCAATATTTTCATCCTCGCGCCGTCGTCGTTGACGTTCAGCGTTTGCTAAACGTCGCTCAGTGGCTTCGATTGGAGTCTCAGATTTTCGACTTCTTTGAACATGATGTGCGATGTTGACTAAACGGGAAGCTCTTTGTTGCGGGTCTTCGGTCCGGCGCAACTCCTGATGATGTTGAGAATCTCGCGCACGTCTGAGAGAACGTTGCGAGAATGTCTTACTCTGGCGCTGGAGCTGATGACGTAAAGCATCTGCATTTAAACGCGATGTCCGCTGTTCTTCCCCTTCAACAGATCGGTAAACACGTTGACGTTCAGCATCAGATGCATAAACGCGTGGAAGTCCACGCCTACGGCCCGATTGTTGATTAGTTGACTCCATTTCAGCGTTTTGCATTTTCTAAATCATCAGTTCGTTTGCTGTGCTTCCAATTAATCAGAAAGAACAGCTTTGCCAAAAACTGCTTATTCTTTTGCATTAGGTGAGTGAAAGCACCGAGTTTTCACTTCAAAAGAATATAAGCTTGAGAATCTTTGATAGCAAAGGTTTAAGCACCTTCTCAAATTCAGCTCAAAAAATGGAATCTGAGGAATATTCATCTAATCAGAATCAAGCAACTTTACAGTAATCAAACTTTGGGATAAAGACGTGCTTGTTGTAACTGCAAAAACCTACCGCTTCAAACGTTTCC